GGGGGAAGGAAGTAAAAACACCATGGGGGGAAAAAAAACAACACAAAACCTAATTTGCCTTATTACCAGAAACTCACCAAAGTAATTGCTACAAAGCTACTAATTCATCCACTGAACAGCTTGTAGTGTGACATCACTGTATTTTCAATTTAAAATATTTTGAAGAAGCACTATTTCCTGCCAGTGGTTTTGCATACTCGGTGTTTGAGCTAATGATGCAGTAACGTTGTAAAAACCGTAGTTGTTCCTCTGATTCTCTCAGACAACTTCCTTTTGTAAAAACATGCACATTTAGGTAGTAATAAAGACCACACTTTTTGTAATCATGTTTTTCTTCCATATACCTCATACCTAAAACAACCCCTTGAGCTCCTCGGTAATAACTGGGAGTCAGTGTTCTAAAGCGCTCCTGTCCTGCTGTGTCCTACAGAGGAAAGAAAAAAAACCAAGCAAACAAAAAAAAAACCACAAAACACATACACACACAAAATAAAATATATTTAGAACAAAAAAAGGTATTTTAAACTACACAAGATAAACAAAGTTAAATTTTTCCTGACCAGTAAGGATACATTAAACCATAAGACAGCAGAATGAGGGAAGCAGGCAGAAAACAGCAGCAGCAGCAACAGAAAATGGATAAGGAGGGGCAGAAAAGCATGGAGAGGACATGATGGAAGGTTAAAGTGCTAAGCACAGACACCTGTAACATGAGCAAGACAACAAGAAAGTCAATGGGACTCAAGAGAAATACATAAAAGGCTATTGCTGCAAGCCAAGCAGCTAGGCTTAATCAGTTAACAATCAGCTGAACTGAATGAGGTGAGGAATAAATTGTTTTACAGTGAGAGACACTGCAGGAAAGGAGACATAGTGGTTCCAAAAAATCTCCCCTTTGCTCCTCCACAGCAGGAAAGGAGGATCCAGTTAGAAAGAACTACTTGAAGTTTGCTAAGACTCTAAGCAGATAAGAAATTTAAAATCAGCAGTTTCATTCAATTATTACTGCAGTATGTCACGCTTATTCTCACAAATCTTCAAAATAGCTCCTAGGTGCAACATGAAATTCAAAACCCCTCAGAACAAACAATAAGGAGGCAAAAGAATTACACAAATATTATTTTTACCAAAAACATTTATTTATGTACAGATTACAATAGATAAACAGCTATGTTGTAATTTTTTTCTTATTTGTTAAAAAAAAGAAACTAAAATTGGCAATATATTTGCTTAATTTGGGTCATTGTTACTAAGGAGATTGTACTCTTAGGCATCCACGGACACTAAAGCAGAAGCCTCTTTGACCTTGATGCACCGTACATGCATTAGAGTTTTTATTTAACATTGTACAACTGCACTGTTTTTTTCCCCCCTAATTAGCAGTTTCTCCTGATGCTGTTACAGACTGCTGCAAAAGTGCCTTTTCCAGCTATACAACTTGTGCAAGTTCTGGCCTTGCTTTTCATTTCACAGTAAGGAGACACACCCCTGTGTGATTATTAGGGCAAACATATCTTGGTTACTCTCAGCAAAGCTTCTGCTTTGTGTGCAGCATGTTCAGAATACAACTAATATATACGCTCACGAGCTAGAGCAAGTGTGACTTTATCACTCTTGCTCTGCATTCTGTACACAAAGTGTGAATGAAAATAAGAAAACAATTCAGGTTTCAGCACTTATTACTTTTATTAATACCAGCCCAAGGCACATTTGTGCTCCCTTTCCAATAGTCCCAATTACTTAATTCGTAATAGTGTGTTCTTTCTCAAATACCTGTGCTACAGGTATTTGAGAAAGAACACATAAAATAAACAAAAAATCTCTTCCTTCTAGGGCTCTTTCATTCCGTTTAGGAGAATAAATGTGGTGCTTCAATATTATAAATATTCCCGATCACAGAGCTGCAATCTGATTTCCCAGTTTGCAGGTCCTGGAAATACAGCATTAGGAACTTCAGGACAAATGCTCACGTCTCCCAGTAAATCTGAACCAACCTTTAAATAGTCCAGGACCAAGTATATTTTTTTCCGTGATTTTAACCAAAATAAAGCATCTGGACTGTTTCTGGTATAGTATACACACAGAGTTGCTGCACAGCCCCTACAGGAAATCATACAACTCATCACCCAGAACATCACTTTTCTGCAGTTTACTTGACCTAAGTGCTGTCTGTCCTGGGAGTGCGCTCCCAGGTCAGACAGGCACAAAACACCTGCCTTTCTTGCAAGGCCACATCTTCACAAGTCTAACGCTTCACAAAGGGTTTGAGAAACCCAGTTGCCTAAGTACAGGAAAGAGCAGTCAAAATCTCTACTAGAACTAAAGGAAGTCCCAAACCTAGAGCAATGAAGTGTTCTGAAAGCAGCTGGTCTGCGACTATTGTTGTACGATCACGACAGACACTCATCCTATGTGCGTTTGCATCCTAAGTATGCAATCTCAACACGCAGAAGACTTCAGCAGGGGGAGGGAGTAAAGGAAGAGGGAAAAAACCCACAAAAAGAAACTCTGTAGTTTTCACATCTGTCAAGAACAAAACCTATCCGTATCTGTCTGGAACAAAACCTACCCATATTGCAAGCTGTACTGCATGGCCGTCTACCACCATTTTCTTCACTTTAAAGTCAACACCTAAGACGTAAGAAGAAGGGAAGGCTTGTCAGAACGAACTGGCGAACGCCCGCCCTCGCAGCCGGCTCCCCCGCCGCTGCCTCTCGTCAACGGGACCTAAACGAAAGCAAGCGAAAACGTCCCCAGCTCGGGGACGGGCGGATTCCGGACTCACCAATGGTGGGTTTCAGGCACGGCTCAAACGCACCGTCAGTGAACCTCAGCAAGAGGCTGCGGGGAAAGAAACCGAGAACTCAGTCCGGTGTCGAGAGCGCCCGGCCCGCCCGGCCCGCCCGGCCCGCACCTGGACTTCCCCACGGCGCTGTCTCCGACCAGAAGCAGCTTCAGGGTGAGGCCT